TCTCTCTCTCTCTCTGTTGGAAATTATTTTTTTTCCTGATGGTCAATAATTGAATTTCCGTCTATGGTACAAAACAGTGTAGGAATACAAAAAATAATTGTGTAAAAAGGAAAACATTGACAAGACAATGATCACTGGCTTTGTTGGAGTAAAGAAACGCACATCGACATGATGATTGTTGTTTAACCGCTGGGGAAATTTGAGTTAAGAGTAAAAAGAAGCACATCGACTCAATAATGGTTATTTTGTGCAGGGAAAAAGTAAGAAAGACAGACAGAAACAACAGAGAAGGAAAGTAAAGAAGTAGGACCTACTAGTGGCGCCCTCCACCCGCCCAACCCCCAGGAAAAGCAAAACAGGTATTTTTGTAGAAAAGCGTGACCCTGCCAGAGCACAGAGCTCTTGTTTGTTTGGATAGAAGAGGTTTTAAGGCGCTCGCAACTGCATAAGGTAATATGAGCGCCAGGAGATAAGAGGTGTTACAAGAGAGTAACAAACATAAAAAAGAAGGAGGTGAGATAGATAAGGACGATAGATGTTTGATAGGAAAGAAAAGGAAACCAAACCAGAGCACCCGCCAACCACCCACACAGAACTCTTGAGCCGACGATGTTGACAGGTAAGGCATAGGGAAAGAGTGCATGAACTGTACAAATGGACATTCATTTAGTTCAGGCTACGGGTGGGATAGGGAGACCTGTCAGGAGACGAAAAAGAGTTTTGTTGAGAGTAAAGGGAAGCCTTGACATAATAACAGCTTTTTAACGTCGGGAAATTGCAAGTAAGACTTACAGAAACAACAAAAGGAGAGAAAAAAAATGTAGGAGCTACGAGTGGCACACTTCACTTACCCCATCTGCACTTCAAACAAACAGGCAAGTAAGGAAAACAAACAAACAAACAAATAGACAAAAGTACCTGCTCCACCAGTGTGTTATAACCGCTGATATCAACGGTCAGTCCTGCTTGACCCGCCAGGTCTATCACAGCGTCCACAGACATCGGACTGCCAAAATGACCTGACTCTAGCAACAACAGTTCCTCACCTGGACGTGGAAAATATATATATAAGAAGTAAAACAAATACATACACATTTTTCAAGTACACTAACATAGAAACATACATACATGCACGTATGGGCAAGAAAATATACAACAAATAAAATAAAAGCAAACACATTTATTAAGTATACTAACATAGAGACATACATACATGCATGCATGCATGGGCAAGAAAATATATAAGAAGTAAAATAAATGTATACACATTTATGAAGTAGGCCTACACTAAAATACAGACACACATATAAGCACGCATGGGCAAGAAAATATACATGGAATAAAACAAATGCACACACTTATCAAATACACTAACATAGCGACTAACCAGTCTACCTACGTGGGTGGTTGGCAGGTGCTCTGGTATGGTTTGCTTCTTCTTTCCTATCAAACATCTATCGTCCTAATCTCCCCTCCTTCTATGTTTCTATGTTTGTTACTCTCTTGTAACACCTCTAATCTTCTGGCACTCATATGACATGCAGTTGCGAGCGCCGTAAAACCTCTACTAAAACAAACAAGTTATCTACCACTCCATACGCCCATGCAGATGTACACACACACATGCAATCACACATACACACACACACACACACACACACACACACACACACACACACACACACACACACACACACTTATACACCTGTACACACTACATACATCATGATGACCAAACTGACAGTGGTATAACAGACAGACATCACTTACCCCTTATCTCTCTACGCGACCCCACCTTGTTCAGAAACTTCCGGAACGTCTTCGCTGCCAACTGGCTGGCTTGTTCATGTAGCTCTATGGTGGCACACACAATGTCTCTAACCTAGTAAAAAAAAGAAGATGTTAATCAGAAAATCGAGGCCATAAGAGTTCTCAGAAGAGGTAGTGCACAGAGTCCAAATGATGGGAAATGTTTTACACCCCAGTTGAGCCCCAGGTATTTGTTAATAACTCGCAACCATAAGGTCGTGGGTTCAAATTCCGTCAGGGGCCAGATGTTGTGTCCTGGGAAAAAGCACTTTAGGTGGGAATAGGTACCCAGCTATAGACAGTGATAGATCTTGCCAGTTTGTTAGTGTTTGAGCGCTTAATCAGCTGCTTGTACTGCATGCTTCCTGAGAAGCTGAGAATGTTTCTGAGTGTTCTATAGCCTGCTGGGGTAATAATATAGTGTAAAGCGCATTGAGCGTGCAGTCAAGCAGGGATATGTGCTTTACAAATGCTATTTATTATTAGAAGTAGTGTATCCGTAAAAGTGATCTTGTATGCCATCTTTTCAGCCTGTTCTGATATACTTCAGGCTTGAGATCTTGAGATATAGTGTTTAGTGTTGTCCCTTCGTGCCCTTAGCCATCAGTCTGATGGAACTGTACTGTCTGTTGTCTTCTCTCAGTTAGGGTAGAGAGAAGAAATGAGGCTCTTAAATTTGGACACAATAATGGCCACTTAGTGCAATGAACAAAATAAGATAGACAGAGACTACAGAAGGAAATCAAAAGTAGAAGGACCCACCAGTGGCACCCTCCAATCATAAACTTGTCATTATCTAAGATATGGGTGTAAAAACATTTTTTTTTAAAAACAATTGTCTCACCTTCTCCTTTGTCTTTACCAGTTCTGGGAACGCTCCACCCTACAGAAAAAAAAATGACAAAAGAAATCAAAAGTTATTTAGATCATTATCACCATCATCATCGCTACAAAAAAGAAAATAGATTAAGAATGAAGAGTCTTGGAAAAACTTTGGTCAATATTCATTGAAATTGTATGAATAAATTGTAACAGAATTCTGGTACAAAAACACCTTCACGTTTCACCTCATCATGATCAGCATTTTCATCATCTAGGTACAAATACAAACATGACTCTGACTTTGCCTTGTATCAGTTTCTCCTGAGCCATAGATAACATTTTCAAGCAAGAATTAAATACTTTATTAATTTTTAATGCTTTCAATAAAAACATTCCTGTCACTGGCATTGTTTGAAATATCTCAGCTAATCAAGTCTTTTTTTTTGTGGTTGTTGAAATTTTCCAGTTCTGAACATGATTAAGTGCAAGAGTAAAAGTTTGTGTGTATGCATGTGTGTGTGCGTGTGTGTGTGTGTGTGTGTGTGTGTGT